CAATGTTCTGTCGTGTCAGATAGGACAAAACCCAGCTTCAGCACACGTTCGATCGCTCGACAGGAAACTGGTTTTTTTCATAATTCGTTCACTGATTTTCTCTTCTTATGGACATGAATGGGGCGGAGGTGATGTAGTGGCCAGTGACACGCTTACTACGCGCGCGGTCAGGAGGTCGAACCCCTGACCGGCTCCCGCAAGGCCAGCCAAGCCTTCTACCACTCGAGAGGAGGTAAATCGGTACCATATTCGTGGAGAAGGATAAAAAGAGTTGACTTCTACCTCGACCAGCCCCGAATATTATCGCATAAGCCACATAGCATCCAGCAAGCCCTACGGCTGATGGAAGTAGATGCGTGCCGCTTCCGAAAAAAGGATCGATCAGCGGCGAAGGTGTTACCCTTTTTCCTTCCAAGGAAATGAAGCTCCTAATCTGAATAACTGATATAACAATAATAAAGGTTCACAAAACTTTCATTAATAAATCCTGTTACACAGGTCAATCATTGTTTGCATTTGTGTAGCAGGATTGCCTGGTAAATTTGTAAATTCAGAAGACACTATCAATGGTTTTAATCGTTTAGTTGTAGGTGAATTGATCATTTACCTGAAAGTGCTTTTTTATATGGTAGGTAGTATTGCGGTGAATGCGTGATATTCACTCAGGATAACGTGATTCAAACTAGACGGTAATTCACTTTATATCTGCGATTTACTTTGGAAATCTTGAGTTAGAAGTTCGCAAGGTGTGTTCTTACGTATTCATTTCGTTTCTTGTCTGTCAAGCATATTCTTTTCTTGATCACTGCGCTATTTAGCCAATCCGTCACTAGTTTCCATGTTGCATCGCTTCATGTGTAGCTCAAAGTATAAACCGAACAGCAAATCTGAACTTGCTATTTTGCTATTTTTAGCACTCCAGTGGATCACCTGTTCTGTCAGCTGATCCGTTAGGCATTTTTTTATTGCGTTCTAGCCGCTCTTTCAAAATTTTGTTCCCCTTTTCACCGATAATTCTTGATAATTTCTACGACAGTAGATTGTCATCGGAAATGTCTTCTGGTCTTTATACCGATCATGTAGATCAATTCGATTCCGTTATGTATGTTCTTCGATTCATGTTTCTTACAAATACAAATACACGTGGGAATTTCTATGAGACCAAAATATCAGCTTTATATTTTGATCTCACACAAAGAAAACGGGAATCTCGTATATAGATGAATCCCATAACTCTATTTAAGCATTATTTGATGAATATTGGTTGCTGACATATCATTTCCATGTTTTCACTTCCACAAATCTCCGTGCTGGAATTTGACGGCGCACGCTTTTGTGGGCGGGGCTAGTCGTCGCGGCCGAAACGAAAGATCAATAGATGGTAGTTAAGCCTCTAGCAAGCCTCAGTTTCGGCGACATTATGTTGTTTGGCCTTTATTTCGCTATAATATTGTATGCATAACCGTTCTTTATACATGTTTCCTTTATCGTTTAGCTGAAAAGCGAATATTTTCTATAAATAAGTAGTATTTTGGGGTCTATCTATGAAACCATGTTTAGCATTCGTCTGGAGACTTGAAGGGATTGACTCCGTCTCATTGTGGTCCTCCCAAATGGACGACTCCAAACACATTAAAACATTACTTTCTCCTTCACGACATCGCGGAAGATGATGAGGCTAAGTGAGTTTCACCCCTACTTCGCTATTTATGCCTATTCGATGTTCTTCATGTTCAGAACCACTGCAGTTTTCAAAGAAATGTGCACCACGTACGGAATGGATTCCTGCCAAATGTTACGGATTGGTGATGGGACACCAACGGAAGATTTGCCGAATGTTTGGCATGATAGCCAAGAGTTGGATGCTATTCTAAACGTTGGATTACGCCGTGCTCTCCAGCATGCCGCCGCTTCGGCGATGGCCCAACAGTCAGCTGATCGGAAACCAAGTGCCGTAGGTCGTTTTACCTATTTATCCTTTATAATTTGAAAGTCCATCATATTTTGATTTCAGCCTGGCGTATCCACAATTTCCCCATCATACGCTGTTGTTCAGTCTTTCACCTTGCCATCCACAGCCATTAACGGCTATCCAGGTAATAAGCTGTACTCAAGCATTGACGGAATCGTCTCTTTCACTCTGTTCTGTTTAGGGAATGGACAACCTTTGATCATAAGGGGCAATGCAATATCAGCTGCTGATAGAGGAACTTTAAAAAACGTCACACTAAAGTTTCTCAGAGACTGTTTGGTTGGTTTTTTTTTCAAAATTCATTCTGAAATTGAAAGTTTGATTTCTCAGTGAATATTTCAGATTCCTCATGTAGAAAGGTTAATGCGCACATTGCTCGAGCAGTTAGCTGCTAGACGAGGTTTGATAGGGAAATCGTTAACGAGCGGAATGAAGAAATGGTTCGGTGGCAGTTCGGCTGGGAATTTACAAAC